ATTCCTGATGATCCTGCAAGGTCCAGCTCATTTTACCCCCATGCTGCCACCAGCCAACTTCTTCCCCAGCGTAAGGACATGCGATCCATTATTTGCACCAACCCCCCAGCTCTCTCCTCCATCATTCCCACAAACATTGAACAAGAGTCTATGTGTTGCTATGTGTCTGTGCATGCAGGGGGCTAATACCAGTGTTGGCTCAGGAGGAACTCTCTATTGAGCCTTACAGGTATCTACATGATGCTGTGGCCACACACCGGCATGTGTGTGTGACACTGGGGAAACAGTCACAGCTTGCCAAGCACTCTATAGACCCACTGTAACTTCTCATCTCCGCAGACTGGAACTGAGCCTCCACTGGCTCTCAGAAGCCCCACAGATGTGTTAGTGCATCAGAAAAGCAAGACAAGCAAAAATCAAAACAACAGTGTTTCCAAACAAAGGGTAGCCGCTAGTAATCAAATAGCCAAACAGGTTGCTGCAATGAGTGTGTGTTTCAATACTCTAGCAGCAGGATGTTCCAAATCCAGGTTTTCAGAGGGAAAAAAAGAAAAAGAAAGATGTAGGCTGGGGACCCATGCTAAACTGTAGCTCCAGACAGAAGGCATAGACCTAGAGAAACACAGCACAAACCCTGGGTGCCCAAAGATTCCCAGGCTGACCTTCAAGGTCACTCTGGAGCATGCCCAGTGCAGCTGCTGAGTCTCCAGGAGAAAGCTATCCCTGCCCCTCCCTCCAAACAACAACAAAACTCCACAAAATGAGCTTTCTTATCCTGAACATTCTGATGTCAAAGAGTGAATAGAAAATTATTCAAAATGTTTCAAAAGAGAGACTTTGAATGACATGTTTTCATCATAAATTATTTGCCCTGTCCAGTGGCAAATAAAGTTGAAAACAATGTACCAAGTTATTTCAGCAATTTTCTTTCATTTAATTGCTATTTCCTTTTTCTGGCCACTAAAGTGTCTTCTTGTTTGCTTGATATCCTAACGACTTTTCATCCTTTAATAACTAAAAGATACAAAAGCAAGGGAATCAGAAACTGAGGAACACAGCTACTGATGAAATGTGCTCTCAAAAATCAGTTGTAAATTACTATTTTAAAAAGCTGGCCCTAGCCAGAGCTATTAAGGAATCAACGTGATCCTCCCACACAGTAAAACACCCTGCATGTATCCCTAGCCTGGTGGCTAGGTCCTGGGAGTGGCAAGTTAGTCTGATTGCACCTGCCAGACACAGAGCAGGCCCCAGAGAGTGACACCAATCAGTGCTATTAATCACTTATAATTTGATCTTTCCTTGTACTGAATTATACTTGTGTCAATAGACTGCCTTAATACACGTGTGTCACATAACACAAAACTGACCAGGATCTGACACAAGGTCTTTCTGAAAACTGAGTCTAACCCACATAAACCCTGGGACTCCAAACATCAGTGAGAAGAGCCTGCACACTAAGAAAGCCCAGTGAAGCATCCGGGGAAGGTGGACCTTTTCAATCCTTTCACCCTAAAGCTCTTAAGTCAGGAATCCAGGAAAACCAACTACACACTTATCCAGATTTAAAGTAACTCTTCCGACAGCCAACTCAAAATCTAATGCTATTACACAGAAATTGTCTCTAGGTGTCCGAACCTCAAATTCCTTCTGTAATCATGAACTCCAAGCCATTATGGCCTAGATTTAAAAGAAGTCATCAAGGTGTTAGGTGATGCCGATGGTGCTACAAGTCTGTAAAGGCTTAACCCTGGGGTGGTAAAAGCAGCTTGGAACTGGCACAGGCCTGGTGTTTGTTGCTATTTAGCCAAGCTCAGGCTTTGCAATGCTGGTTACATGCACTTTTAGGCAGCTCCTGGCCTCACACTTCATGTTTCACAACATGCTCCATTCTCCCTTCCTAAACATAAAATTTCTGACTCCTGCAAAGCCACCTGATTCCCAAAGTAAATTTAAGCAAGGCAGGACAGGGCCAGCCCTGACACTATTCCCAAAGGGAAAATGTGGGATCCAGGGCATCCAACCATAACTTTAGGGCTGGGATTTTAACATAACACTTAAAATTCTGAACAACTGAGAATCTTTAAGAGCTATTTTGTTAATTATGTTTATTTGTGTCTGTATGAGTACGTGCATTGGTGCAAGGGCCAGTGTAGGCCAGAGGCATCGGGTCTCTCTGGTGCTGGGGTTCCGTCCGGGGCATTGTGAACTGAATGATGTGGATGCTAGGAGCTGGGTCCTCTGCAGGAAGCTATAAACTCTTCATCACCTCTCTCTCCACCACTGCCCCAACAACTGACATGCTATGAAACAAATACACAACAAAGCAAAACAAACAAAACGGCACAGGACCCTAATAAAATGGTACGGCCTGAAGGCTGAGAGGCTGTAACAGCCACAGAACTGACTGCTCCAGTCCTGAGCTGACACTTCAGACATCTTCACCAATGGCAAAGACTATCCGGATGAAAGGTGTAGTGCTGTACATACACACATGATCCAGAACTTTAGAATAAAGTGAGGCCTCAGAGTTCTGTGTATGTGTGTATGCTATGACCTGGTATAGTTTTAAAACTATTTTCAGTGTAGTTTTTGTTTTGAGACAGGTTTTCTCTGTGAAACAGCACTAAATGCCCTGGAATTCACTGTAGACCAGGCTGGTCTCAAACTCACAGAGATCTGCCTGCCTCTAGCCTCCTGAGTGCTGGGATTAAAGACCTGTTGTGCCACACACACTCAGTACTGTAACATTTACTCATCCATGCCCAGTCTTTTCCCTCCAGGTGATATACAGAAACCAGATCCACGTTTTGTGCTTTCAAGAGACTTCTGACCTCAAAATGTTACCTATCATATCCACCCCAGCTGGTTTTGTTCCCCCCCCCTCCTTTTTCTGAGACAGGGTCTGATGTAGCCCAGGCATCACACTTAATATATATATCAGAGGCCCATCCTCCTAAATGTACTTCCCAAATGCTGGGATTATAGACACATTCCATCACACCCAGTTTGCGGGTTTTCCACATGACCCATAAAGTTTGTGGTGAAGTTCTGTCCACGGAGACAAGCAATAAGATTACTATAGTTATTACTATTGAAAACTTGCACCCCTAGGGGGCAAACTTCCAACACACTTAACACCTTTACCATGGCAAACCGACTTTCTTTCAAGTGTTTGTCCCAAAGGAACCATCAAAACCTCAAATGCTTTTAACTCGTGTCCAGGTGCAGATGAAGCATACCCCCTGTCAATCATGTCTGTGCTTCTCCCCATCTCTGTAAGACAGGTACTTATCTGGAACCCAGGCAACTAATTAGTGTTTTCTACCATGTCCACAAACACAGAGGTGCAAGCCTGCTGTTAAAGTGAACAGGGACCTTTCAATTCTCCTGTCCTCTGTGTAAATGACAACAGCCACATCGTGCCAACCAACTCTTGCTTTCCTCCTCATTTCTTTATTTTCATAGATGAGCTTGCCAACTGGCGTTGTGGTACATGTGCAGAGGTCAGAGCACAACCTGTGACCCTCTGTGTGGGCCATGGGAATCACACCTGATCACCAGCTTGGTGGCAATTGCCTTCACCTGGCTGACTCATTCTCACTGGCTCCCAAAAGAAACTTCTGTCATTTTCTAACACTTTAAAAGCATGTTGGAAGGGAGAGAGAGTGAGAGGGATTAATGGCTGGAGTAGTGTAAGGAGTGTGCCAAAGTGCTGTGAGGCATGTTAAAACTAGACAGGTACGATAGATAACTCAACCAATCAAGTCTGGGGACAGGTAACTTCATAGCAAAACAAGGGCAACAAGCAGGCAAGCATGCCACAGCAGGGTCTGGCTCCAACCCTTCTCTTCTCTAGCACATTCCTAGGCAGCAATATGAGAATGGTTTGTCTTCCAGGGGTCCTCTGCCAAGGTTGGTTTTAATGTGAGCATGGACCTAGGGCAGTCAGCTAGCCTGTGAGATTCAGCTAGGATAAACTGTTTCCCGGATGGCAGGAGCCAGCTGATGCTGTAGGAACCACTATACTCCACTGCATCTACCTCCATGGCCATCAGCCCACCTTTTTGTAATCAGAAGCATGAATAAGGAATCCTCCTACTGAACCCCACACACACACACACACAACACAGCAGCAGTATAACAATTACTCATCCAGGTGATCTACAGAAGCCAGATCAATGTTTCATGGTTTCAAGAGATTTCTGATCCCCAAATGCTATCTATCATATGGTTAATTCACCACTTTCAGTGTCTACCCCCAAGAAACGTCTCCACAAGGTCCCAGTAGGCATGTGAGAAACAAGAAACCCCTGACGTTTCAGGATGGGCTGCAGGATTGGCCCCTCATACCCTAGCATCCATTATCCGGCTTGCTTTCCCCAGTAACGTGGAGGAAGAAGGGCCTGGATACCTGTCATCAGCCCTTACTGGCTATGAGCTGACTCTACCCAAAGCCCCATTGGTAGGATCACCCAAATCAGCCATCACTGAACTCTCATGGTGAAACCAACAGCAGCCTGCTGCTCTGAAGAAGGGAGGCAAGGATTAATTCAAAATGATTACGGCTCCTCATAGCTGACCAGAAGCTGCACCTGCATAGCACAGCCCAGGACCAAGGCTGTTATGCCCACCCCACCCCACTCAGCCCCTGTGTGGGCAAAGGAACACTCTAGCTCCATTCTACAGATGAGGAGGGCTGAACCAGCAAGAGGGGCAGCAAACGGTCAGGTAATCTTAGCCTAGTCAAGCTCACGAAGGCCAGGTGACAGGCCCAGAAACTGCTAAAGCACGTAAAGCCTGGGGTGACCGCCATTCAGGACCACCCAGGCTGTTTCAGTAAGCAGCAGAAAAGTTCATATCCTCGCGACCACTGGCAGGCTGGACACCAGGGAAAGCAGGTGTCCTCTAGGGGCCCCAGGCTGCTGGAACACAGGCCCAGCCCCCCATCGTTCTCCGGCCTGTCCAAGAGCATCCCCACCATCCACCGGACTGCCCACCTCTGCGCGGAGACCCCTCGATGCTCTCTGCGCTAGACGAGTGTGTGTCGGCTGGAGCCCGCCGCAGACTGAAGTAACCGCGGGAGCGCAGGGCGCCGCTGCGGGGTGAGGGCCCACCGTCCCTGCGCGCGAAGATGCCGCTGAAGAAGCGCAGCAGCCGGTGCTCCGAGGCTGCCCCGGGGCCGGCGGCCGCGGCGCGCGCGCGCTCTAGCCGCTGCAGGTCGCTGTTGTCCAGAGTGCGGTTCTTGCTCTTGCTGCGCTCCCAGCGCTCCAAGTCCGAAAGCGCATCGTTCTTGCTGAGCACCTCGCCTACATCCAAGGTGTTGCGCTTCTCCGCCACAGGCTGCGCTCCGGTCACCAGCTCCGAGCCGATCTCCGCCTCGACCTCTTCGTCGGGCACCCATGCTAGGCTCCCAGAGCTACTGTGGCGCCTCCCGCCGCTCAGCGCAGGGCTCCGCGGCGGCTCGGGCTCGCTCCAGTGCCTGAAGCTCAGACTCCGCCGCAGGGGCGCGGCCCGAGCCTCCTCCCCATCGGGGCTGCTGGGCCCCTCGGCCGAGGGGCTGCCCATCAGGTCCGCGGGCTCCCCGCCGCGCGTGCAAGGCCGCAGACGCCCGAGCTCCAGTTGCCCGGTGCTGCGCGTGCGGAAGGCGCGGAAGTCCCAGGCGCGCGGCCCGGCCTCAGGATCCTCAGCGGCCGCCTCCTCGGCCTCTTCTTCCAGCCGCCCGGGCGCGTCCGGGGAGCGCGCGGGCCGGGGCCGCCGAGCGGGGAGCGCAGCTGGAGCGGCCAGCTGCTCCTTCCTGACCATGGTCACCGAGATGCGGTAGACAGTCTTCCGGGGGGGCGTCCCGCGCGGCATCGCGTCCGCGGGCGGCGACGCGGGCTCGCCGCTGCCATCCAGCAGGTACATGTCCCCAGGGGCCGCGGCCGCCGCGCCGCCCTCCGAGGCCTGACTGCATCCAGCGCCGCCGGCCGTCGGGACGCGCGCCGCGGGCGCAGAGCCGGCCAGGTGCACAACCCGGGCCAGCAGGGAGCGGCGCCCACGCCCCCCGCGCGCAGCGAGGCCCGCGCTTAGGCTGCGGGAACAGCGCCCCTGGAGTCCGCCTGCCCGCGCGCCACGCGGCCCGAGTGCCGGGGTCCGCGCCCGGGGAGCCGAGCCATGGGGGGTCGGGGAGCGCTTAGGCGCGGAACCCGCCTCGCCGGCAGGT